TGTGATTAAGGTCAAGGTAAAGGTCAAATAAAGGTTGCAGTGACCTGGTTTTGGTACTCTGCACACCTTTTCCCCAAGATGTGTAAGTATACCAAGTTTGGTCACGCTAGGTCAATTAGGGGTCGAGTTATAGAGCGAAAGGGAAATTCTCTGCGGCGGACCGAGCGGCGGCGGCGGCTGGGGAGACATGAAACCATAGTATCCCCGCCGACTTCGTCGCGGGGGATACAATTATATGAGCTGAATATAGGATTTACAGGTACGTTCCCGGTATGGGATGTTTATATATATGATCTGAATAATTATATAGGATTTACAGGTATGTTCCCAGTATGGGATGTGCATACATATGATCTGAATATAGGATTTACAGGTATGTTGCCAGTATGGGATGTGCATACATAGGATCTAAATATAAGATTTACAGGTATGTTCCTAGTGTGGGATGTACATACATATGATATGAGTATAACAATTACAGGTATGTTCCTAGTATGGGATGCTCATATATAATACGATCTGAGTATAAGATTGACAGCTATGCTCCCAGTATAGGATGTGCACACACTGCACAGGGAATGTGACATCTCTTGTTTCTCCACAGGAAAGTGAGTCCAGCAATGATGCGGGACGCTCTCGATTTTTTGTCGTAGCTGTTGTTGGTAATGAGTGCCCAGTTGCGGGGAAAACAGTGCCAGGCAAAGGGTTCGTCATGCAAGTAAAATCGCATTTGGGGTAAATAATGACAATTTGTCATTATTCACACCGGATTTAAACGTACCTGCTCAAAAAAGCCACCTTGAGTTCGACAGGTCGGACGAATTACACATTCTCTGGATGAGTGGATGTGCATATATATATATATATATATATATATATATAACCTGCCTATAAGATTCATATGCATGTACCCAGTATCGAATGCACATACATGTGTTTCCAGCAAGAAAGAAATTTATTGGGGTTTAAACGCAGGATGCGCATTCATTTTACCCTATGTTCCAGTGTTTCTATTTCTTAGCCTCACACATAGCCATATTGATTTTGGGTGCTGCATTTTTTACCCACACCAGAGGAATTTATTGAAATGTATGCCTAGGTTGCCATGCCAACAATAAAATAAGTATTCCTTGGTAGCGTTTGAGCCACGATGTGATTTACGGAAGGAAGTTAGCTACCGCAAGTAATATCAAATCTAAGTTGCTCCCTGTTTTACGGCGTAAAATGGCACGAATCAAATGAGGTTCTTGCGGTAGCGAAAGTAAACAGCGACACGTTACAGGCACGGCGAAAACTGCATGCACGTCTAAAGCACAAGGGGAGACAGCACAACGTAAGGCAGGAAACAGCACAACAGCACAACACAAGTTAGTATAACGTACCACAAGATAGCGTACGATATAGAACACAGCACAACGCATAGCACGATAGGTACAGCACATGACAGAGGATATCAAAACATGTGGAGGCACAAAACAGAAACAACGTAGGATAGGAGACAGCCCAATATATGTCAGCAGAAATACCAAAAAGGGCAGGAACAGAATAAATTCGGAGACACACCACAATCTGTGCCACGAGACACCGCTACATACATACAGCTGAACTATCACTACCAACACATGTATGGCAGCCGGGCATCGCCGTATTGTAGAAGTCAGTATATAGCATGTCACGCAATAGCACAATGCGTCGTAATAGACAAGAGTGTATACCACGGCAGATAACACACTACATGACTACAGCATGTGCCACAGAAGATAGCGAAACATAATCAAGAGTCCATAATAGAAGAATCCTTGTAAGAATTTCGATTATAATTTCTAATATAAGGTAGTACAATGCATGACATGAGACATCTGAATATTATGGCTGGTTAGAAAACAGTACGTGGAAGCAGTGCTTATAATATAAAGGCAAACGACAGGACACAACATGACACAGCCGTAGCACAGACAATGCGACATGACAGACTCCAACATGACATGGTGGAGCAGCACAGAATTCAGTATGATAGCACACTCCAGAAACATTGTTGCACGTTGATGTCAACAGGATTTCAATTTTTCGCGCGGTTAGTGCATGCAGGCGCACATACGACGTTATGAGTTAATAAGCCTTACACATAGAGAATTACGTGCTCTATAGCACAACTACTGCATTAAGGATCTGTGAACGCCACCTTCACACTCCTAATCCTTCCATCCGTCCTGCTGCGAGATTGAGATCATTCAATACGAACCTGCGCTACGTATTCCACTGTTATCCCGTCGGCCTGCCCTTCCACCCCGGCCGTCTCTAATTCTCTTCTAACTCGCCCCTAATTCACTCCTAACTCGTCCCTACCTCACCCTGACCCGGCCCCTACCTCACCCCGACCCCGTCTCTACCTCACCCCGACTCCGTCTCTACCTCACCCCGACTCCGTCTCTAACTCAGCCCTACCCCGTCCCTATCTCAGCCCTACCCCGTCCCTACCTCAGCCGTACCCCGTCCCTACCCCATATCTATCTCAGCCCTACCCCGTCCCTACCTCAGCCCTACCTCAGCCGTACCCCATCCCTACCTCATCACTACCCCGTCCCTACCTCAGCCCTACCCCGTCCCTACCTCAGCCGTACCCCATCTCTACCTCAGCCCTACCCCGTCCCTACCTCAGCACTACCCCGTCCCTACCTCAGCCCTGCCCCGTCCCTACCTCAGCCCTACCCCA